TAATAATTTGTTTTAGGGGAATGTAGGGCATAGCCCTATATTATGATAGGTGGAGTGCCTTATCAAAAATAACTTAGCTGTTCTAGTTATAAAAAAATAGCTTTCCATCGCAAAATTTTTTGAAAAACAATGAAAAATCAACAATTAAGTAGTAGTCAAATAAAATTGTAATTGCCATCTAAAAAACAAAGTAATGAAAATGCAGTACCAAATAAACCCCAACTCTCAAAGAACTTATCCTCAGTAATGGAGAATTTAAAGCTTTGAATTATTCCAACACCTCTTTCAAATTCAAACATATGGCTGAACTTCCTTGAATTTTCTTAACTTGGCTTAAGTTGAAGATTTTGTAAGAATGTAATTACTTGGTCTTTACTGTCGTAATGCTTCATTATCTACAGCGAACTTTAACATATTTGCTTCTTCTTTCATAAAGCAAATTCTTAGAAAATTTATTTGTAGTTTCAGTCCCTGAAATCTTTTGTATTCTGATTGCTTGAAAAGATTTAGTTGTTGCAGAAATATATTTAGATAAGTGCTTGAAGGAGTTGCAGTGAGTTGCTTCTGTGATGAATAAGTCAAATTAAATTAATGAATTTTACAGTCAAAGTTAATTATTCAAATTTATCTATAATCCATAAAAATCATCTTTTGACCGCAACTAAGAAACTTTTTTAGATTGTTAAATGACTTGAATATAAATAAAAGTGATGAAGCAAGCCCAAATCTGTAATTTTAAACTGTTCTTCATAATTTTTCTAAAATTATCATCATTTTTAAAGAAACTATCACATTATTGGCTTGAAGAGGAGATGAGAATCAACTTCTTGATACGACAAGAGGATCAAACTTAGGCTTCTTTTGCGACACCTTCTTTGTTGCTTTCTAAAATGGCTTATTAATACAAAAAAAAATTTTGAATTAGAAATTATTGTACTAAAATGCAGTTTTATGAAGTAGCAAAAAAGTTGTCCCATTGCGACAGCTTTCATACTGCATTCTAAAGCTGCTTTCTAGTATAAAAAATTATATTTCTAAAATTTTTTGTACTAGAAAATAATATTGGAAAGCAGTAAGAAAACTGTCCCATACAAAACCTAAATCAATATTTACACCCAAAGTCTCTTCAAGTATTCAAAGACTTGATACAAAGAAAGTAAGAAGTAAACCCAAAGAGACTTGATTAAAAAGTATTAAAAATGTCTTTTTTTATTAGATTTAAATGATAATTTTGCTGTTAATATGACTAACAGACTAAGGCTTAATTTATGACAGGTTTCTTATTACTTTATGAAACAATTTTATACAAGAAATTAAGTTGCTTTATAAATCAATAAGAAAACTTAATTACTCAAAGGAAGCCTAAATGAAGAAAAAATATTCTTATTATCAATCCCACATAGTAGGATAAAAGTTTGATGATGTTGTTGTGGTAAAAGATTTGATACAAATAAACAATATAAATAAAACTTTCAAAATCTTTTAAAATTTTATTTATGGCCTAATGATATCACCAACTAATACAAAATTAAACATTTAATCTTTATTTTAAAAATTAGAAAATATAATGTTAAATAACATAAGAATATATAAGCAAATGGAGAAAATAATGGATTTTTGTTTTGATAAACACTTCGATTTTCTTCAAAAAATTCTCAAAATAATATAACAATATGACTATATGAGATCAAGAATATTGCATGATTCTCCTTTTATTTATTATCTTTTATAAGGAAAATAATGAAGAAGAATATTTCATAAGAAAATAATTAAAAATTCTTCAAAAATCTCCTCAAAATTGTAAAATAAATCGGTAGACATGTTTAATAAATTAAAGTTTTATATAATTGATAACTTAATCAATTTAAATCATAAGAGCATAATATTTTATATTAAAATATATGTAAATATCTCAATAAATCTAATCAAATAAGAATTAAGCTCAGATTAATTAAGTGCAATATAATCATCTAATAAAAAATTAAAAAATATAATTAAACAAATTGAATCAAATAATTAAAAAATACGAAATCAATTAAGCATGTTATTATATGTAAGACACAAATAAAGAATTTTAATCAAATTTTCTTTAACTTGTCTTTTCTTACATAAGTAAATAATGATATAATTACCATAATTATCCTACAAAAGTAAACTATTAATGAATTAAGTAAGGAATAAAAAAGTCATATGAATTGCTAAAACACAAAGTGGTCAAGATCATTAATAGGCATAACTTATGTGCTTGTTCACTAATTTTATAATTAATAATATAATTTGGATATAATTATTTTAATTGATAATAAACCTGTTGCGGGTTAGAATACAGGCTGCAATAGAGTGAGGGAATTTTTCGGCATAGTGTTACACGGGTATTCAACACACAAATAGAGAAGATAAAACACCATCATTTTTACGTGAAAAACTTTGAAAAAAAAAAAAAAAAAAAAAACCCGGGCCACACCCAGTCAAAATGATTCCAGTAAATTTGAGTGTGTTGCAAAACTTGACCCATCCTCTACAATAGTTTAGAGATTTGGGCAGAAGTCCAATGACAATGAATGATCATATAGAAGTCTGACAACGATCAGTGGTTGGGTGAAAGTTCGACAATAGTCGATTGTCGGGCAAAAGTCTAGTGATGACTGATGACTGGGCAGAGGTACAATGACAGTTGGTGGTCGGGCAGAAGTCTGGTGGCAGCTGGTTGTCGGGTAGAAGTCCGATGATGGCTAGTGTCCAAGCAGAAGTTCAGCGATGGTTGGTGGCCGGACAGAAATCCAACGACGGTTGGTGGTTGGGCAAAAGTCTAGTGACGACTCATGGTTGAGTAGAAGTTCGATGAAGGCTGGTGGACGGGTAAAAGTCCAACGAAGTTTGGTGGCCAGACAGAAGTCCGAGGATGGTCTGTGGCGGGCAGAGGTCGATCGACCGTCAGTGGCACGAAAGGGTAAAATTCCTCAAAATAAAAATTGCAAAAAAATGAGAGGTCTATTTATAGTAAATAGAGAGAAAATCAATGACATATTGGGAGTGTTTTTTGATGAAGGGCCATTATTGATTCCCTTGATCATAAACTGTTTATCGAGCATTTGATTACCTTAATGATGTTAAAATTCGATGATCATGAGCTCATTGGATTTTTCTCATTGAGTCGCTCGATTCGAGTAAAAATATGTAATATTTAAATATCATTTGATCATCCAATTTATGCTTTAAAGCTTCCATGCTTCAAGCGCTCAATTTGGACTCATTTGGGTTCGAATTGAATTTATTTTGGTGTCGTTGGGTTCGTTTCTTTGAGACGATTAATTTGACTATAAGTTTGCTGAAGTCTGAGTTTGGATGGTTCCAGATCTAATTTTAGAAAATTTCAATTCGAATTTGGCTTGAGATTCCTGCCCAATCAAGATAATTATTTGATGATAAATAATTACAAATAAAAAAAACAACCATACAAAATATGTTTTATATTTTTGTGTACGTTAAGAGTACATTTAAAATAATTTTAGCTAAAATCTGAATTAGCCTCACTATTGTTCATCATCTTTGGTATTAAAATATGGCAATACTTAGTAAATTATTAAGTGATATTTTGTATATCATCAGATCATTAATTAATTACAAATTAGTCATCTACGCTCATGTGATCAGCACTTACGTTGCTTGCAGGGAGGAGAGAGAAGGTTGACCAAATTAGTCACCACCTTGGAGGAAGAAAGGCGGCGTATTTTATTGTCATTGGACCTATTTCAATGTGACATCCACACCCAAATGTGAAGGAAGAAGGAAAGGGAAGACGGGTTGCATTGTTTTTGAACTAATTTGATTTATTTTATTTAAATTGGTGCTCCAATGTATTGTTTTTTACTTTTTATTCAATTTGCAACCCCCTTTTTTCCCACTTATTTATCTCAATTTTCCCTCTTCACGCCCGCAACTGCCATTTTTTTTGTTTTTTTTTTGTTTTTTTGTTGTTTTTAGCTCCCACGGTCCCACCCTATATCTCTATCTCTCTCTTAAACTTTTTTTTACTATGGTACGTCATTTCTCACTCAATTGATGGAGGAATTATTCAATGAGGGACGGTTGAGAGGTCAATCAGAATATGTCATATCATCAAGTACATAATATAAGTACATCAAAAAAAAATGATGTGTCGTGTTCTAATTGGTCTGAACGTCCATACAACATAATTTTTCCTACCCTGAGGGGAATATCATTTTAAATCTTTTTTTAAATATATTTTACCTTATCTTTCTCACCTTATTTATATATATTTTTCTCTATTTTAATCATTTTTCTTTCTTTACAATACTAGTATATTTTTTTGGGAAATAAAAAATTCCATCAAATTTTTTTATTAGTTTGAAACCTCCATATTCCTTTTATAGAAAATTTATGTAATTAAAGTCATTAAATTGCACTAGAGATGGATTATAATATTTAAATTTAAATCAAGTAGTTTAAAATATACTTATTATAAATTTCACATATTTTTAATATATTTTTATATTAATAAGATTCAACTTTTTAATATATTTATTACTCGTTATAATTTTTTTTTTAAATTAGATATTAAAATGTACTATAAAAGACTAGTTGAAATAGATGAGTATGACAATATATAGTCTAAATAAATTTGTGTTGAAATTAATTTAGATGAGCATGACAATAAATTTTTTCATTATTGTAAAATTTATCTTCTTAGTGTTGCGGGCTAAAAGATTCGTGGCGGTAGAGTGAGTAAACTTCTCATCTGAGCGATGCACGTATATCCAGCACACAAACAGAAAGAGAGAAGTAAAACGCCAAATCTTTTTTACGTGGAAAGCTCGAAGAGGGAAAAACCATGGGGCCTCGCCCAAGTGAAAAGATTCCATTAAACTTGAGTGAATTACAAGGGTTGACTCGTCCCTCGATTTAGAGGCGGTCGAATTACAGTAATTTGGAGAGCTAGTCAAAGGTCTGGCGACGGTCGTGCGGATGTCCGACGACGATCATAGGCAGGGCAAAGTTTCGGCGGCGCGGCGGCTGCCAGGCGTGGTCGATGAAGTTGGCTGAAGTCGCGACAGTTGTCGGCCAGGCGAAGGTCTTGTCAGCGGGTGGCAGCCGGGCGAAGTCTGGCAGAGGACGACGGCCGGGTGAAGGTTTGGCGGCAGATGGCGGCTGGGCCCGAAGGTTCCCCGGTGAAACCGGGGGCGGGGTTGGGGTTCGGGTGCTTGGGTCCCGACGAAGGTTGGGCTGAAAGTCCGGCTGCGGTCGTCAGTCGGGTAAAGGTTCGGTGGTAGAAGGCGACCAGGAGAAGGTTCGGCGGCGGAGCGGTGGTCCGACAAAGGTCGGGTTGAAGTCCGGCGGCGGCCGGGCAAAGATCCTACGACAGGCGACGGCCGGGAGGTGGTCCGACGAAGGCCGGGTTGAAGTCCGGTGATGGTCGTCGACCGGGCGAAGGTCCTGTAGTGGGCGGCGGTCAGGTGAAGGTCCGGTGGCCGGCGGCGGCCTAGCGGTGGTCCGACGAAGGTCGGGCTGAAGTATGGCGGCGCTCGTCGGCCGGTCGATGGTTCAACAGTGGGCGGCGGTGGTCAGAGAAAGGTCGGGCTAAAGTCCTGCGGCGATCGTCGGCCGGGCAGTGGTGCTAGAGCTCTTGAAGCTTCAAAGCTCTCTCTAATCTCCAGCCCCAGGTCCCCTTCATGTAGAGAGTGGAGGTCTATTTATTGATTTTCATGAGTGGCACACCCCGTAAATCTAGAGAAGGTCCGGGGCAGGTTCGGAGTGCTCCATCGGATGGCTCGTATTGATTCCCCGATCGTAGAGAGTTTTTCAACTGTTTAAATGTCTTAACAATGTCAGAATTCAAAGATATTAGGCTCGTTGGATTCGTCTCGTCGAGACGCTCGATTTGATTATAAGCATACCATATTTGGATATAATTCATCATCCAAATAATGCTTTAACCCTTCCAAATGTGGTCTGGGCCCCCGATTCGGACCCACTTGGGCTAGGGTTAGACTAATTTTGGTGTTGTTTGGTTCGTCTCTTTGAGATGTTCAATTTGAATATAAGTTTCCTGAAATTAAAATTCAGATGATCCCAAATTAAATTTTGAAAGTTTTCAACCTGAATATGCCTTGAGATTCATGATCAAAACAAATTTTTGAGGATGTATCAGTTATAATAACTAATATAAAAAAGTAAAACTCCAATGTCAATTTTAAGTTCTAATGAAAAGCTTGAGGATATTTTAAAAATAATAAATTTGAGTATCCACAGATAAAAAATTCTAGCTCCCCTACTGCCTAATGAAGTTATCCATAACCATCAAGCCCTACTTGTCTGGGCCTACTTAAGGAGAATCACCCCTCATAAGGGCAATCAAGGGTCATCATGGAGCAAGTTACTCATCACTTGTCACATATGAAGAGGTCGATCATCAAAATTACTTTCTTTCTCCTAGGGCTATATGTCTCCAAGTCTAGACTACAATGTCATCACAGTACATCCTGACAATATTACAATGCACAAGTGTACAAACACTTCAACACTCTAATGTACAGTGTGGCAACACTGTAATGTTGTACGAAAAAAATATTTTTAGGCTCAAGGCTCTCAAACTCAAAGCAGGGGGAACCCCCTGCAACCCCCTATGAGCTTAAATAATTAAATTGAAGTTTGAGTCAATAGTATAACCCGATTGATCGATACAATCATATTTCACATAGAACTAACATTGAGATTCAAAGGCACTTGAGCATTTATACTGTTAATTTTCTCCAGTGAATTATTCCCTCAATTCTCACTAGGTTCATAGGTCACCTTCTTTAGAGTTCTCTTGCTAGTAAAGTTAGTTGTCATTCACAAACAAATTTGAATCCAATATCTGTAATTTCACAATAGATTCATATTTTTAATGTTTCCATCACGTGCACATAATTCATATGATTCAAGAAAAAGAAGATTATACATTCAAATCAATATTAAATGCATATTCAAAAGACTTATTAGGGGAATAAAACTTTACTCTTATGATTTATCCATACCCACTAACATTTATGCTTAAAGTTGGTTGTCAACTCCTACATAAAATAAAGGTTACATATATATCATTTTATTTCATGCTATTTACATATTTAATAGCTAAAATTTTAATATTATATATCTACCACATATAGAATAAATATAGGTGCATGGAATGAATATTAAAGTTCATAGAATGGTATAGATGATAGGAATGAAATGCACGAGTGATATATTTGATATTAAATTTATATATGAGTGATGGTTATGAAATATTAAAAATTTGAATGTTCAAAATGTAAATAATATGAAATAAAATGGTATGTTTGTAAATCCCCTTAAAATAAATTTAAACTCAAATTGTAAAAGTGAACTAACTAGTCAAATTTACCTCAAATATCCTTTAACTAAAAAAAAAATAATCAGAATATTTTTACTCAAATTTTATTAAAATATGCCTTAAAATTATTAACTTTATTTTAAAATGATAACAATATAAATTTTGATTATTTATTTATATATTATCATCATTTTAAATTAAAATAATGAAATTCGAATTTATTATAATTAATTTAGGTTTCTTTTTTCTTAAATGGTGCCAATTGCTGAAGTTACGTTGAATGGAACCGGCGAAATACTGCTGGCAAGGTGCAGCCTTTGCCGGCCCGAGCTGTTCCAGTGAAGTTTCCGATGTAAATCGCCAGCTGGGACCACTGTCGATTTCTTGTTCATTGGATTTGTACTTTACAGTTGAAGCCCTCATCATCCACAATGGCAAGGTAGAATTTTGAGGTCATTTATGGAAGAACGCGGGGAGAATACAATGTAAAGTTGGATCTGACCCGGTCTTCCCTAAATTATCTCCCTACCCTGCAGCTTCAAAGAAAGTCGCCATCGTTTTTTCAATCTATCAACCCTCAAACCTTCGTTGTTTCCTTTGGAAGAATCCTAGACCCTCTCACTTGGCACCGATGGCCACTCCTTCCTCGAATTTCCTGCTCGCCTTCTATATAACCATCCTTCAGCCCCCTTCTCTGCTCTTCAATCCCATCTACGAAAGTTTCAATCTTTTAACTCCATTCAAATGGCCGGACAAGGTTTCGAATTCGAGGATTTCCTCCCCATCATCGCGGAGAAGTTAGGTGAGGATGGTTTGATTGCGGAGCTTTGCAACGGTTTTCGTCTTCTGATGGATCCTGCGAGGGGGCTTATCACCTTCGACAGCCTTAAGAGGAATGCAGCTTTTCTAGGGCTTAACGGAATGCGTGATGATGAGCTTAGGGGGATGCTGATGGAAGGAGACCTTGACGGCGACGGTGCGCTCAGCGAGATGGAGTTTTGTGCGCTCATGGTGCGGCTTAGCCCGGAGCTCATGGAGGAGTCTTGGCGATTGGTGGATGAGGCGCTCCAGCAAAGAGTTAGATCTCCTTAAGATTTGTTTTAGTTTGTGGCTTTCTTTTCGAATCTGACAGGTTTAGATTGGATCGGATGGGCTTTTTGTGAATGTGGTCGATTGGTGGTGTTGTTATGACATTTTTATAACTGATGGCGTTTTAGTTTTGATGATATCTTTGACATTCCTTTAGGAAATTGTATGGAAACTCGGTGAAACAGAATGATTATGAATATAATGCTTTATGCTGGTTCTACATTTCTTCTTGTTCTTGCTATGGGAAATCAATCTTTTTCTCTTGAGGGACATCAACTTGGTTTATATTTGGATGAAATTTATTTAGTGAACTCTGTAACGTTATTCTTTGATTTGAACCGTTTTTTTTTTCCCTCTTGTTGCCACTTGAAAGAATAGGAGTATGTGATATTGGTGGTTTTGATTGCCCTATCGATTCTATATTGTTGTGGCCTCATACGGCCTTAGCATAATTACAGATTAGGGGAAGTCTTGGATGGTTTTCTTTTGCACTGAAATGGGGCTTCGTGTCTTCATAGCTTATTAGAAAGTTGGATGGTGTAAAACCCCTTAATGAATATTTGTTCATTTCTTTTATGGTTTGAAAACTACATTACAACCATAGCATTGATATTTAGTTTATAAATCTATTTGGCTATCTGAAGATTGTTAAGTCATTGTCCGTTGTACTTATCAATCTGAATCTTAATGATGTGTTTGGGTGGATGTAAATTATCATTTGCCAACTTAGGCTCTGTTTAGGACGGCTTTCTTACTACTTCTTAAAGCAGCTTTTTAGTACAAAAATTAAAAGTTCACTAAAAAGCTGCTTTTAGAAGTAGTAAGAAAGCCGACCCAAAAAGCCTTAATCAGGAAGCAAATGACTTGCATTCTTGTGTAAATAAACATGCAACTGACTTGTATGTTTTTAAGCACTTTTGTGGAGTATTTGTTGCCACGAGTAATGCAGTTGTAATAATTTTGCGCATCTCACATATATGCCATATTTAGCTTCAGAGATCCATAAAAGACTATTCCATGCACTTGGAAAATATTTTTCATTGTGTAATCCTTCCTTTTTGTCAATTCCTATTGTTTCTTTATGAGGGACCTCAACTTCATATTTATGCTATTGTAATGGGTTTGATGAATGCCTCATTGTTTTACTGATTGATTTCTCTTTTTTATTTGCAAATTAAATTCTACTGGACATCCGTTATAATCCCAAGTTTACTAGTCCTAATGCTTTTCTAATAGGTTGTATAAATGAAGTCATTTCACATTCTCATGCGTTGTTGCTTCCCCTTTGACCCCTCTCCAAAGAGCATGGTCGGTTCATTCCTTGTTAGGGAAGAACAGTATGGTAATTGGTTGCACTTGAATCATTTTGCCTTACTCTAAAAAATCGGCAAATTTAACCATGAAAGGTAAGCCCTGATAGCTATTTCTTCATATTTATTGTTTTCACTATTTGAGTTATGTATGACTTGATTGACTAATGTTTTTGTTCCGTAACAGACACTTTGTTTTGAAAAGGCTTAACTATTGGAGCTTTAAAAGTGCGAGTTAAATTTTTGATTGTTCAGTGGGAGTGGGATAGATATTGTGTCTCAACTTCTATATTATTTCTGTATCAATTCGAAGATCAGAGCAGTAATTTCATAACTAGCCTATATGCATCTTTTTCTTAAACATGTTATGTTCGGCAAGGCTAACATACTTGTGCAATGGAATGTCTCATAAAGCTTTCCCTTTTTAGTCAACCAGTCTTCCCTTCTTCATCCACTGATTTCTAATCTCTTAAAGGAATTTTGAAGGGGCTTAATTGTGTTCAATCCAATGATCGCCTGGAGAGATTTCATAGCAAAGAAGTATGTCCCGTTAGGCTTGAAGTATCTGCAAACTTTATATTCCATGCATAGCATGTTGAATGGATGTTTAAATTGTTAGTTTTGTGTGGAATCTGATTGTGTCAACTGTCGATCAATCAGGTTGTATTGTGGACTCAAATCTCAATTCTGTCAGTCGAGCTCTCTGAGAGGTTGCAGGGGGGCCTCCCTCGAACCCGAATTTTTTTCCCTAGAACTCGAATTTTTTTTCCCGTACGACTGTACCGCACAGTGGCCCTAGACACTCATCATGCTGGTTGGAGATAGAGCAGAGCATTGTGACGCTCCAAACCCAGCAATGCCAATCAGGCTGGAGACAGAGCGTGGAGCATTGTGGCGCTGCAAGTTGGGTTGCCATTTTCTTTCTCTTTTTTCATGTTGGACTTGAAGGGTTGGGTCCATTGGGGTGATTTATAAGAGTCTGTTTGTCAGTTCTGTGTAAAACACGTGTGAAGTTTGAAGAGAAACAAGGAGAGATCGAGAGACAGAGATTTGTAAAATTTTACCTAATTTTCATATTGGATTTCTTGGTGTGATGTGGTTCTGTGGTTTTTTCTCGTTTTCAAGTTTTTTCATGTTAAATCTTGGTTTTTTTTTTTTTACTTTTTCGCTGTATTTTTGCTTTCTTGTTTGTTTTGGTTTTGGTGTTTATTCCCAACATAAATGTTGCCTTTTCTTTTGCTTTTCTTCAAACCATGTTTTTCCTGCTTTCCTTGTCCTCTAAAAATTGTTGAAAGCGACTCCTGAAGGAGATGCAATTGAGAGGAGTTTTTGCCAACTTTTTTAGAATTTCTACGTTTGGAGATTTTAAGGGAAGATTGATTTTTTTTTTTTAATCTTGGCGATTTTGTGAGAAAAGTTTTCTTCTTTTCTTCTTTGGGTTTCTTTTGAAATTAGTTGCTCTAATTTTGTTAAATCTTCTACATCTCCTCATTAGTTTTTTACGAGAATTTGATCACATTTTGAACTCTCATCAAATTGCACTTCATATTTTGATAATGGAGTTACCTTTTCTTTCTTGCCATGTAGATGTGGGTCAATCTTGTGCAAACCACATAAATATTAGTATTTTTGTCTTTATATTTACTTCTATTGTTTCTGTAACATATTATGGATGTGGTGCTGTTTTTGTTTATGCTAGTTTAAATTAGCTTGCTCACTTTGGGGCGTTCATAAAGGAAAGCTTTGGACACCTCCAATGTAGCAAATTGGTATTAGTGCAAACTTGTTTAGGTTAAATTTAGGAGATGGTGTTGTCAACGCCTTTGTTAGCAGTACCAAATATGAGTTTGAGAAACTCAATGGGAGCAATGAATTTAATATTTTGAAGATGAAGATGAGATCATCTTTTGTCCAATGACGATTTGCTGAAATCTTTGGAGGGGATAGAGCTCCTAATTTAACCATCCTTAGTTTGGGAGACAAATTTCTTTGAAATATAGAAAATCATAGTATAATACTTAAGTTGTAAAATTAGAATCTCTGTACGTTACTAAGTTACTTTTACGCATTTGAAACAATAGTTGTTTGTTTTTGCATGAAAAATGGTATTTGACTTCAACAATATTTGGATGCCTATAACTAGCTACTGTTGGATCTGGCCAATTTGAATGCGGCAATTGAAGAGAAAGTGAAGCTTTGATTTTGCTATGCTCTCTACCATCCCTTTAGGCCTTCTCCAGCCGTTCGGCAAACAGGCGAATGGAGAGCCTTAGACGTGCCAACCGAACTCCATTTTTGCCGGCATTCAGTCGCTTATGAACAGTGCGACGTCAATATTGGCGTCGCACTGTTCACTTTCACCATTTCTTTCTCTCTACCGAACTCCATCTGAGAAAGGCGCGAAAGAAACGACCATGATTTTGGGGCAAAATGGCGTTCCACTGGAGATGAATCATGGCACTTTTTGATTTTACTGTACTTTGCAGTGAAAAATGAGAGTTTCGGTTGGAGATGCCCTTATGAGCACATTCTCACCACTTAGCTGTATGGAAATAATACAATATTCATGATAGAGGTGGTGTATACCCTTCTATCAAAATAGTTGAGGAAGAAGGTGCAAGTAGAATGCCCAATTGGGGCCTATTTTTTAGGACAATTAAGAGCTTGGAGAAAGCAAGAGTAAAGAGTAAGATCAATGTCCGAGTCTAAAAAGCAAGGACAACGCACTGTTGTAGGAAAAAAAGTGATTTATAAAGACGTCTAGCTTTGAAGCAAAATCAGTTGCAGAGGAGAAAATTGATGGATTTAATTTGGTACTGACAACTGCATATCATTTTGTTTCTTAAACTGAAGATTGGATGCTTGATTATGGATGTTTATACCCCACTATCCATCTAATGGACCAGTGGTTGAGCCGGTGGGCCCCACTAGGGTGGGCGGCAGGCAAGTAGGGAGAGGGGGAATTGTTTAGGAAAGTTTTAATCATAATTGGTAGGGAATTAATTAGGGAAAGTGGTGCAACCTAGGAATCTGATAGGAAACACTTGAGTTCCCAAGTGTTTCTCACCAAAACTGAAGTTGATCCGATGGAAACTGCTGTCCACAGCAGAAATACAGCAGAAATCTGCTGTTTACAGCAGAAAAACAGCAAAACGACAAGGAAATCTGAGAGAAAACTCAAAGAAAAGCTTGTATTCCACTAGTCGATGAATAAAATAGCAAGATACAATTGATCCTCAATTCGAGAGGAGGATCGTTCTCTCCCAAATCTCTGGCAACGCCAAGAGCCCAAAGAAACCTAAATCTAAGAGATCTCAAATTTCAGCCAAATTCAAGATGCCCAAACCCTAGGAAAACAAACTATTTAATGCATACAAATCAAAAGGAAATCCCTAAACAGTCCCTACATTCAAATTTCACTCTTAAAACCCTCAAAAAAGCTTCCTAAAAAGCTCCCGTGGATCATGCGTGCGTGCGGCGCTTCCGCCCAAGCGAAACCAGTCGCCTGTTTTGCGACTCGGCCGGTCCACTGGACCGGTCTAACAGAATCCTAAGCCAAGTAAGAGAACACTAGGTATGCAAAACACAAACACAAACTAAAATTGCTATAAAAAAAGAGTTTCCTTCCAATATGACAAATACAAGCACTAAACAGAACACAACAAAGTTTTTAACTTCTAATAGAAATCACTTACAAATTATATTGCAACAAAACACGACACAACTTAAGACTTACAATAATTTCAGAGAAGAAAGATATAGGTGGGGTGAGAATCGTGGAGAGAGATGAAGAGGTAGAAGACTGAGACGAAGTAGTAGAGGGAAAGGGTAAAGGATGTTAGCTTGCAAGCTAGAAAAACCTGCAGGTTTGTAAACAAAAAATCATTCAATTCTATTCCTAAAACTACAACAAAACAGCCCCATTTATAGGGAAAAAACAACCAACCACTCACATTAATGAGCCACCCCAAACATCCAATAGGAGCCAACACAAAACTTAGGAAATAGCATAGGGAAGGGGAACGACCAGCACAAGAAACTAGCAAAAAGCAGTCCTAAATAGCATAGGGAAGGGGAACGACCAGCACAAGAAATCATAAAAAATCAAATTCCAATCATTTGGGGAACCAAAATTTTCCTAGAAACTCAGCAGGAAATCCAATAATCACCAAACAATTCGAATACAACATAGAATACCAAACAACTAGCTTTGCCTACATCAGAAAGAAATTTAATTTGAATTCAAATATGATAGAGAGTTATTTAGGGAAAATCCAGGGGAGTTAATATTGGTTATGTGAGGAATCATGGGGAAATTATTTAGGAAAGTTTTAATTAGAATGGGGAGGGAATTAATTAGGAATAGAGATCTAATTTGCATTAAAATATGAGGGAATTATTTAGATAAATGAGGCTGATTTGGGAGAGAATTAGGGAAGTATTTAAGGCTAATTGTGGGGTGATTTTAGATTATGTTTGACTTTGCTGTAATTAGTTTTGCTTTAATTTGAGTGGGCTATAGCTGACGGGTAGGGATTTTATTGAACATCCAACTGTATCTTGTGTTTTTCTTCTTAGTTCTTCCAATAAAAAAGTGTCAGTGTTGTGCTTCCTAAATTTCTTGTGTCGTTATCTTGTTTGTAGAAATTTCATCCACTTCCTATCACCATCATAGAGATTTGTTTTTTTATAGATTTGTCGATGGTGTAAATATTCTTATGAGTAATGGATATAAACTATGAAAATATTGAGGCATGGATGATTTAGATCAAAACATATGGAGTTGTGACGACTTCAGGAGAGTTCATTCATATGTGAATTATTAAGAGCAATCTCACAAGTTCGTGTTGTTCCTACTCCAATAGTGTAGATCCAATGTTGAAGGTGGAGTTTAATCTGTATTATTATTTTGATGAGGACAAAGAAGATTGACAATCTTTACTTTCTTCAAGGTAACAAAATGATAGGTGATAACATCAGTTTCTTATTGATTTAACTAGATTATGGTATATGAGGTTCCGGCTTATGTCATAGTGGGGCTTATGAGAGAAGATGTTTATTTTGTGGTTAGTAAGAGGAATGCAGCTTTTCTAGGGCTTAACGGAATGCGTGATGATGAGCTTAGGGGGATGCTGATGGAAGGAGACCTTGACGGCGACGGTGCGCTCAGCGAGATGGAGTTTTGTGCGCTCATGGTGCGGCTTAGCCCGGAGCTCATGGAGGAGTCTTGGCGATTGGTGGATGAGGCGCTCCAGCAAAGAGTTAGATCTCCTTAAGATTTGTTTTAGTTTGTGGCTTTCTTTTCGAATCTGACAGGTTTAGATTGGATCGGATGGGCTTTTTGTGAATGTGGTCGATTGGTGGTGTTGTTATGACATTTTTATAACTGATGGCGTTTTAGTTTTGATGATATCTTTGACATTCCTTTAGGAAATTGTATGGAAACTCGGTGAAACAGAATGATTATGAATATAATGCTTTATGCTGGTTCTACATTTCTTCTTGTTCTTGCTATGGGAAATCAATCTTTTTCTCTTGAGGGACATCAACTTGGTTTATAGTTGGATGAAATTTATTTAGTGAACCAGTAACGTTATTCTTTGATTTGAACCGTTTTTTTTTTTCTCTCGTTGCCACTTGAAAGAATAGGAGTATGTGATATTGGTGGTTTTGATTGCCCTATCGATTCTATATTGTTGTGGCCTCATACGGCCTTAGCATAATTACAGATTAGGGGAAGTCTTGGATGGTTTTCTTTTGCACTGAAATGGGGCTTCGTGTCTTCATAGCTTATTAGAAAGTTGGATGGTGTAAAACCCCTTTGAATATGTGTTCATTTCTTTTATGGTTTGAAAACTACATTAAAACCATAGCATTGCTATTTAGTTTATAAATCTATTTGGCTTACTGAACATTGTTAAGTCATTTTCCGTTGTACTTATCAATCTGAATCTTAATGATGTGTTTGGGTGGATGTAAATTATCATTTGCCAACTTAGGCTCTGTTTAGGACGGCTTTCTTACTACTTCTTAAAACAGTTTTTTAGTACAAAAATTAAAAGTTCACTAAAAAGCTGCTTTTAGAAGCAGTAAGAAAGCCGTCCCAAAAAGCCTTAATCAGGAAGCAAATGACTTGCATTCTTGTGTAAATAAACATGCAACTGACTTGTATGTTTTTAAGCACTTTTGTGGAGTATTTGTTGCCACGAGTAATGCAGTTGTAATAATTTTGTGCATCTCACATATATGCCATATTTAGCTTCAGAGATCCATAAAAGACTATTCCATGCACTTGGAAAAATATTTTTCATTGTGTAATCCTTCCTTTTTGTCAATTCCTATTGTTTCTTTATGAGGGACCTCAGCTTCATATTTATGTTATTGTAATGGGGTTGATGAACTCCTCATTGTTTTTCTGATTGATTTCTCTTTTTTATTTGCAAATTCAATTCTACTGGACATCCGTTATATTCCCAAGTATACTAGTCCTAATGCTTTTCTAATCAGGCTGTATAAATAAAGTCATTTCACATTTTCATGCGTTGTTGCTTCCCCTTTGACCCCTCTCTAAAGAGCATGGTCGGTTCATTCCTGGTTAAGGAAGAGCAGTATGGTTAATTGGTTGCGCTTGAATCATTTTGCCTTGCTCTAAAAAAATAGGCAAATTTAAACATGAAAGGTAGCCTTAATAGCTATTTCTTCATACTTGTTATTTTCATTATTTGAGTTATGTATGACTTGATTAACTAATGTTTTTGTTCCGGAACAGACACTTTGTTTTTAGAAGGCTTAACTATTGGAGCTTTAAAAGTGTGAGTTAAATTTTTGCTGGGAGTGGGATAGATAGATAGTGTGTCTCAACTTCTATATTATTTCTGTATCAATGCGAAGATCAGAGCAGTAATGTCATAACTAGCCTATATGAATCTTGTTCTTAAATATGTTATGTTCGGCAAGGCTAACATACTTGTGCAATGGAATGTCTCATAAAGCTTTCCTTTTTTAGTCAACCAGTCTTCCCTCCTTCATCCACTGATTTCTAATCTCTTAAAGGAATTTTGAAGGGGCTTAATTGTGTTCAATCCACTGATCGCCTGGAGAGATTTCATACCAAAGAAGTATGTCCTGTTAGGCTTGAATTATCTGCAAACTTTTTATTCCCTGCATAGCAATTAGAATGGATGTTTAAATTGCTAGTTTTGTGTGGAATCTGATTGTGTCGATCAATTGGATTGTACTATGGACTCGAATCTCAATTCCGTCAGTCGAGCTCACTGAGGGGTTGCAGGGGGGCCTCCCCTGAAGCCGAATTTTTTTCCCGTACAACTGTACAGCGCAGTGGGATGTACACTCATGCTGATTGGAGATAAAGCGGAGCGTCGCGACGCTCCAAACCCCAACAATGCCAATCAAGCTGGAGGCATAGAGTGGAGCGTTATGACACTGCAAGTTGGTTTGCCATTTTCTCTCTTTTTTCATGTTGAACTTGAAGGGTTGCGTCCTTTGGGGTGGTTTATAAGAGTATGCTTGTTAGTTATGTGTAAAACACACATGTGAAGAGTGAAGAGAAATAATGAGAGAGCAATAGAGAAAGAGATATTTATAATTTCTCCTAATTTTCATAGTATTGTTAGGCTAGGCCAGTTCAAATTTACAAAAGGCGGACCGGTGGGGTCCGCCCCCTTTAATGTTGCCACCCATTTGGAGCAATGGGGAGAAGGGGTTTTGGGAGGCTAGTTTGAGTGGGAAAATTTGAATGTGAGATGTTTGAAATTAGGAAATAAATTATATTAGTAAGGGGGCTGGTTGGAGGGAGTTTTCTCATGCTGGAATATTTGTGTCCTCTTGAGTTCATGGGTGTTTGGGCTCTAGATTGTTTTTCTAGAGATTTGGGAGAGAACGATCCTCCTCACGAATTGAAGATCACTTGTATATTTCTTTGTTTTTGTTTGGCTTGATTTTCTCATTGCAATCCATCGTTTGGGGCTGTTTTTCTGCCCAAATTTTGCATTATTTTCGCTGTTTTCACCAATTAGTGATAGGTTTGCTTGCGAACTCAAGTATTTCCCTTGGGGATTCTTGCGAACTCAAGTATTTCCTATCAATTTCTTGGTGTGGTGTGGCTTTTTGGTTTTTTCAAATTTTTGAGTTTTTCCATGTTAAATCTTGGCGTTCTTTCTTTTTTGCTGCATTTTCTCTTTCTTGTTTGTTTTGGTTGTGCGGTGTTTATTTCCAACATAAATGTTGCCTTTTCTTTTACTTTTCTTCAAACCATGTTTCTCCTGCTTTCTTTGTCCTCTAAAAATTGTTGAAAGCGGCTCCTGAAGGAGATTGCAATTGAGAGGAGTTTTTGCCTGACTTTTTTAGAGTTTCTACGTTTGGGGATTTTAAGGGAAGATTGAGTTTTTTTTTTTATCTTGGTGATTTTGTAGAAAAGTTTTCTTCTTTTCTTCTTTGGGTTTCTTTTGAAATAAGTTACTCTAATTTTGTTAAATCTTCTACATCTCCTCATTAGTTTTTTACGAGAATTTGATCAAATTTTGAACTCTCATCAAATTGCACTTCATATTTTGATAATGGAGTTATCTTTTCTTTCTCGCCATGTAGATGTTGGTCAATCTTGAGCAAACCACATAAATATTATGTTTTTTGTCTTTATATTTACTTCTATTGTTTCTGTAACATAGTATGGATGTGGTGCTGGTTTTGTTTATGCTAGTTTAAATTAGCTTGCTCACTTTCGGTTGTTCATAAAGGAAAGCTTTGGACACCTCCATTGTAGCAAATTGGTATTAACTCAAAGTTGTTTAGGTTAAATCTAGGAGATGGTGTTGTCAAAGCCTTTGTTAGCACTACCCAATACGAGTATGAGAAATTCAATGGGAGCAATGAATTTAATATTTTGAAGATGAAGATGAGATCATCTTTGTCCAATGACGATTTGCTTAAAACTTTGGAGGGGATAAAGCTCCTAGTTTAACCATCCTTTGTTTGGCAGACAAAATTCTTTGAAATATAGAAAATCAGAGTATAATACTTGAGTTGTAGGAAAAATTGGAATCTCTGTACGTTAGTAAGCACTTTTACGTATTTGAAACAACAGTTGTTTTTCTTTCTTTTTTTTTTTTTGCATGAAAGATGGTATTTGACAACAATATTTGGATGCCTATAACTAGCTACTGTTGGATCTGGCCAATTTGAATGTGACAATTGAAGAGAAAGTAAAGCTTTGATTTTTCTATGCTCTCTACCATCCCTTTATGAGCACGTTCTCACCACTTAGCTGTATGGAAATAATACAATATTCATGATAGAGGTGGTGTCTACCCTTCTGTTAAAATAGTTGAGGAAGAAGGTGCAAATAGAATGCCCAATTGGGGGCCTATTTTTTAGGACAATTAGGAGCTTGGAGAAAGCAAGAGTAAAGAGTAAGATCAATGTCCAAGTCTAAAAAGCAAGGACAACGCACTGTTGTAGGAAAAAAGTGATTTATAAAGACGTCTAGCTTTGAAGCAAAATCAGTTGCAGAGGAAAATGGATGGATTTAATTTGGTACTGACAGCTGCATATTATTTTGTTTCTTCAACTGAAGATTGGATGCTTGATTATGGGCGTTTATGTCCCACTATCCATCTGATGGACCAGCGGCTGAGCCGGTGGGCTCCACTATGATGGGCGGCGGGGCAAGAAGAGAGGGGGAATTATTTAGGAAAGTTTTAATTACAATAGGGAGGGAGTTGATCAGGGAAATAAATGTAATTTGAATTCAAATATGATAGGGAATTATTTAGGGAAAGCCCAGGTGAGTTAATATTCATTATGCAAGGAGGAATTAAGGGGAAATTGTTTAGAAAAGTTTTAATTAGAATTGTGAGGGAATTAATTGGAAAAAGAGATCTAATTTGCATTCAAATATGAGGGAATTATTTAGGAAAATGGGGCTGATTTGGGAGAGAATTAGGGGAGTCTATTTAAGGTTAATTATGGGGTGATTTCAGATTATGCTTGACTTTGCTGGAATTTATTTTTTTTAGGTTGAGTGGGCTCTAGCCGATGGCTAGAGATTCTATTGAAGATCCAATTGTATCATGTATTTTTCTTCTTAGTTCTTCCAATAAAAAAAGAATTATTATGTGTTATTTTCTTAAATTTCTTGTGTCGTTCTCTGGTTTTGCTAAAAATTCATCCACTTTCTATCACCATCATAGAGATCTGTTTTTTTATAGATTTGTCGATGGTGGAAATATTCTTATGGGTAATGATACGAGCAATGAAATTATTGGGGTATGGATGATTTAGATCAAAACATATGGAGTTATGAGGACTTCAAGAGAGTTCATTCATATGTGAACTTTTAAGAGCAATCTCACATGTTTGTGTTGTTTAGACTCCAATAGTGTAGATCCAATATTGAAGGTGGAGTTTAATCTGTGTTATTATTTTGACGCGGGCAAAGAAGATTGACAATCTTTACTTTCTTCAAGGTAACAAAATG